TTATTTTTCAGTTCAATTGTAATTTTCTATTTTTTTTAGATTATTTGTAAGAACTGAAAATACATATCAGTTCGTAGGATTCCCGTGTAATTTTACACCCCATATCCAACAGTACAATCCAACAAACATACACATCTCTCATTATAAGACACCCTGAAAACTCATGTCCAAAACTCGAATGGCTAGAATAACAAGCATAGTCCAAAACACACATACAAGTTTCTCAAATCCTTCGTCGCCGAACATCATGAGTTGCGAGTCCAACATACACACACACACACTATTTGTAAGCTCTTGTCTAAAACTCGAATGAGTAGACAAATATGTTTATAGCATAAAAGAATAATATAAATATCAAATTTATTATAGAATGGGAAAGACACAAATTTACCAAAACTGAATAACAAACAGAGCCTAACAAATAATACTAAAAGATAATAAATAATTGTACCAGCACTCAGCCCTGCACACAGCCAACTAATGTTCTCTACAAAGAAAATTAATTTTCATACTCATCTTTTTTGCATTAGCTCTTCTAATTTTCAGAGTCATCTTTTTTGCATTTATTATATCCTTTTAATTTTCATACTCATCTTTTTTGCATTTATCAAACAGTCCCTTTATTACCCTTTTCTTTATTATAAACCCTATCAAGCCACCATCTCCATCACCTTCTTCTTCTTCTTCTTCTTCTTCTTCTTCTTCTTCTTCTTCACTCAATCCTCCAAAGCCAGAGAGCTTAATTTCTTGCTGAAAAATGAGAAAAATCTCCTAATGTCCTCGTGTTACCAAAAGAATCGAGCAAATTTAGTGGGAAAAATGAGAAAGATACAGTCTTTACGAGCAGGGGCGGTCCTGGCCGCGGCGGAACCCAACATCCGCCTATCGCCGCCGCCCGCAGCCGCGCGGCCTCCGGCGGGTCCGGTATGCGGTGGCCGCACTTGTGCCTGGTGGCCCTTCACGGGCGCCGCGGATTTCATGGTGAAGGCTGTCCTCATCGTCGCGGCCCTCTTCTTTGCCCTGTTCTGTGCCCTGGCGTTCAACGCCGCTGCCCGCTACTTCCTTCGGTGGCGCTGCTGCTGCTGCCGCCTCCGGCGGCCGAAGGGGGAAGACGGGAGAGGCAAGGGGGCTGTGGTGGTGTACGAGGAGGGGATGAAGCTGGCCAGGGAGGAGACGGAGTGCACGATCTGCCTGTCGGAGTTCGTCGCCGGCGAGATGGTCAATATGCTGGACAAGTGCGGCCATGGCTTCCACGCACAGTGCATCCGGCGGTGGCTGGCGGCGCGTGACTCGTGTCCCACCTGCAGGGCGAGGTGCTCCGTTTAACTCAAATACACGCCGCCGTGTGTATCTTTCACGGAAATCAAGTTTCGCTTTTTCTCCTTTTTTTTTTTCTGAATTTTGGTTCGAAAAATAGCTTCTCCTATTTCATTTTGTTGAGTTTTTTTTACTAGTTGCAATCATTGGATAATTGTGTGTGTGTGGGTGTTTTTTCCATTTTCCATTTTTATATTTTTTTATTGTGGATATTATGTATATATAATAATCCTCTGACACATGTTAATATGTCAACCGTACGTGCCATACATATATGATATATTGGTGATGTTAAAATATTCAAAAAAATGCATCACCAATGTGTGCATGTCACATAGTGGACATATTAACACGTGCTCACCGTGGGTAGAGGAGCATTTGTATATAGTTATATACATACTTATTTGTATATATCCATACTTATTTTTGGAATAACGATTGACTGAACAGGGAAGAATCCAGAACTCAAAATCAAGTCTCGAACAAATTCACCTAAGGAATTAAAGTATTTTAATATATTCAGAAAAAGAATTAAAATAATTGATTTATGAATTATTATAAATTGATATCGAGGGTCTTTTCTAACAAATTTGTATAAACTCAAGTTCGAACTGTAATCTAGGGTGCTCAAGCTCGAGCTTGAGCCATTAGCGAGCTCAGGGTAATCAAGCCCAACGAGTTAGGTTCATTTATCAATATTAACGAATTGAGTTCAAGCTTTAACGAACTGATTTCGAACTCTAACGAGCCAAATTATAGAAAATTATATATAAATTTTATTATCGAGCTGAGTCGAACGTGACTCGTCAACGAAACAACTTCAAGCGAGCTCGGGCTCGTTTGAGCCGAACTCAAACTTTAACGAGTTGAACAGAGCTCATGAGCGGCTCGATTCATTTAACAACTTTAATTTATACACCTCAAAGTCAAGAAACTGTCACTGAATACTAGTGGGTGCGAGGTGTTGGTTGTGATAAGCCCAACACATACTGGTGTGAATGTGATCTTGTCGTTTTCCGAACATATTTAACTTAGAAATAATTTTTTTTTTTTTTTGTATTTTTGCTTAATTTAGGATTAACTATTTGTATTAAATATATGTTTAACTTATAATTAACTTTTGATTAAATTTTCAGTATCTCGTAAGTAGTTTTGAGATGTATGATTTTACTCTACAAACATGGGCTTTGAAAAATGATATTGGTTTGGGGCGCCCAACTTGTCCTACTTTATTAGATCTAGGCATATTGTATAGGTGAAAACCTAACTTAACGTGATTTAATCAATATGAGTAAAATTTAATATCATAATAGTCAATATGTTTCCCACACATAATTGCATAGATTTAAAAATAGAAAAATTAAATATAACCATCTTGATAAGTAAAAATCAACTTGATTTTCTAGGCTCAAAACCCTTGAAGAGCAGGACCTGTACCTGTAATATGAGAAGTGAACTGGGTGTTTGAGCTATTAGAGGACTCTGGAAGATGATGGAATACGACTCTTGTTGAGAAAACATTTACTCCATCTGAGGCAAAAGCCATTCTGAGCATTTATGGACTAGACCCTCATAAACCTGACATGTTGATCTGGGAGTGGAGTACGGATAGAAACTTCGGAGATGCATCTACTTGCCTGAAGGTGATAAAAGATAAATGGACGAACATGGAGCAAGCTGAATCTAGCATAATAGGAAACCTCTCCAAACATGCAGGAAGGAGATCTTGGAAACTAAAAATCAAAGGAAAAATAAAGCATTTTATGTGGAAAGGAGTGTACAACATTCTTCTAGTGTTATGTAATATCAAGACAAAAGGAATTCAGTTGGATCTGGTTTGCAAAATCTGTGGTGAAGAGCCAGAAACCCAGGAACATATTTTTTTTCATTGCAACAATGCAAAATTGATTTGGAAACTTGTACCAGTCTCCTGGGAATGGCTGATGGATGGAGAAACTTGCTTTAAGCATTAGTGGTTCAACATATGTACAATCAAGCAGCAATATTTTTCAGAAGCAAGAATTCAACTATCCACCTACATCCTTTGGTGGATTTGGAAAATCCAGAATTTATGGGTGTTCAGCAACCTAAGAAGATCAAAGATGGATACAATTTCCTTTGCTCGCAGTGCTTGGCTTGAAGATTCTGCAATATTTCTTTTTGTTAATTAGTGGTTGGGTTTGTTTTTCCTGTTGTTGCTTTCCTTAGGTTTTGTAGCTTGCTAGGGTCTGGTTTTAGGTTAGTGGCAGGTTATTTTTGGTGTCTTGATTGGTCTTCTTTGCAGGACTTCTCTAAGGCTGGACTTAGAGTACTAGTCTCAGGTCCTATGTGTAGTTATTGCTGGGTTCTTGGATTCTCTTCTTGTATATTTATTCTCTGGTGCTTGTTGCAGCTGCTGTTAGCTTTGTAGCTGAGCTAGTTAGCTCTCGAACGTTGTATCTTTCTCGAGTTTTATTTAACCTGTTGTTTCGAGGAAAAAATTCAACTTGAGTATTCCTTTTTAATGTTTTATAAAACTTCTCAAGTTTTTTTTTTTTTTTTTTTTTTTTTTTTTTTCTCGAGTTAGAGTGTGTTGGGTAAACACCATAAGTTAGTTTATAGCTTACTTTGTTAGCTTAAAAACTTTTTGTTCAAATATATGACAAACACTTTTGTCATATATGATAACTTTTCAGCAGTAATGCATAAACTATCAACTATAAACTTAAAATTTACTTATAAACTATCAACTAACTTTACCAAACATAACATTTGATTGTGTTTGTTAAGCACCATATTTAGCTCATAAGTTTTCAATATAAGTGTGTTTGCTAAACACCATAGTTTAGTTACAGCTTATTTGATTAGCTTATAAGCTTTTTATATATAAATTTGGTTTGATAAGACAAACATTATTTAAAAATTTCGAGCCTATCTCATAAACTTATTTGGTTTGGCTAGTTTTTTCAAATAAGCTCTTTGAAGTTTCTATTTCAACTAACTTATCAACTAATTTTACTAAACACTTTTGTCATATATCAGCTACAACCATAAATAATGAGTTATAAGCTCAAAATAAACTTATAAGCTATCAACTAGCTAATCAGATATCAACTAACTTTTCAAGTATCAACTAGTTTTATCAAACGTAACCTTGGTTTGGTAGGATGAACTTTAAAAACCTCGAATTTATCTCGTAAGCTTCTTTGATTAGCTTTTTCAAATAAGGCCATTAAAATTTTTATTTTATCTGACTTATCAATTCAGCCATAAGCTATCAGCTATAAGTTCAAAATTAACTTATAAACTTACTAACTTATCAACTATTAACTAGCTTATCAGTTAGTTTTACTCTTTTTTTAAACGATAGATTTTATAAGCCTCAAAGCACCAAAGAGGTGGAATCGGGAGAAATGCTAACAGTAGCATCCTAGACAAAACAATACCAACTAGAATTGGGTCTAGACAGTCCACAAATACTAGACACGCTCGAGACCGGAATGCTGGAGCCCATTCGAGACAAAACTATGAACTAAATAATCTAACTATAGACACCTAACTAAATAATCAATAAGCGGAGAACCCACACAAAATAAACTAACACACACCTAATCTAACTATAGATTACGCCTAATCAGTTAGTTTTACCAAACATAGTTTTTTTCTTGTTGCTCGAGCTCGAACTTGATTTTATAAAATTAGAGATTGACTCGTGCTCGCTCGAGCTACTCGATTCATTTTGTCCTGATCTCGGATAAGGGTGTTAATGAGGTGAGCTGAGCTCGAATTAATGATATTCTAAGCTCGAGATCGAGCTAGTAACAAGTCGAGCTTGACTCGTTAACTAAACAAGACAATAACGAGTTTGAGTTTAGTTCGTTCCAATATTAACGAGTTCAAGCTCAAACATTCACGAATTGAGCTACTGAAATTTATTAAAGTTTTGTTATTTTGAAAGAACCGACGAGTTTGACTTTACGAGCCGAGCCGAGCCGCTCTGTAGTCCCAAGCTATATAATGCCCACGAGTCTCGTCTGAGTCAATCTCCAAATATCTAAGCGAGAAGATTTTCTGGTGCACATAACACACAGGAGGAAGAAGGAACAATGGCAGCTGGGCCGTTAATGGAGCAAGTGGAGATTATCAAGGCGCGAAATGACAAAAGAGACTACAAAAGGATTGTTTTGGAGAATTTTCTCCAAGTTCTTCTCATCAGCGATCCGGAAACCGATAAGGTCTGCTTAATTCTCCGATTGAATTTATAATCGAGTGTGTGTGTGTGTGTGTGTGTGTGTGGGACATAATTCGTTTGAAATTGTTACTGTTTGGATGTGTATTTTGTTGCAGTGTGCTGCATCAATGGATGTTCGCGTGGGTTCGTTTAGTGATCCCAAGGGGCTTGAAGGCCTTGCGCATTTTTTGGGTCAGAGCAAAATTATTTGTTTCATGTTGCTTCGTTTTATTGGATTAAGCTTAGGTCTGTGGACATAATGACGTATATATGTGTGCTTGAATTGTCTCTGAGGTAATTGGGGACTTGAAGGCTCTCACATCTTTTTCTGCTTCTGGTGACGAAGATTGTGTTCTATTGGCATGCACTTTTCAGCTCAAGTGCGTTAAAATTAGTTGATAAGTTAGCTCTAATAAAAATTTCAACGGGATTATTTGAAAAGATGTCCTAGGAAGCTTATGAGATAAGCTCGAGCTTTTTAAAAACGTTCATCCTACCAAACCAAGCTTATTTGGATACAGGAAGCATATAAGCTAATCAAATAAGTTGTAATCACAGTCTGTACCCGCTCCCAGACTTAAAGACCACTTCTCTTGTTCACCATCGATAACATTATTCACATTTTTTGTAATGTGTCTGAATCTCCCCTATTTTCTGTTAGAAAATTCGTGGATTTTGCATATAAATAGGCTATTTATATTCTCTATTGCCTGAAAAATTACGATGAAAGTAGATATGCTTCGAGTACTGCAGTGTTTTTCTACTGTTGCTATACAACAAGAATGCCCTTTATTTAAACGTTTTTTGGTGGGTCTTTCGAACTCGATTCTGTCATTAGTTTAGTAGATGCTAAAATATGTCTTAATTGAGTATATCTTCTTGACTTTCTGAAAGGCGCTTGAATTGGATTCTTTTACTGATTTGGAAGACGCAAAGACTCATAAGTGTATTGGGAGGGGTTTTCGGAAAGTCCATTGAACTTAATTCTTACAATGATCCTGAGGCACTTGTAGGTTTTGCATGCTTTCTCAGTGGGCAAGACTGGATTTTCTTGTCCTTCAAGTTCAACCACTTTAACTACTTTTAGGCTAAATGAACGGCTCTTAGAAACTCAATGTGGGTTGTGGGTTTTCAAAAATCTGTTAAAATTAGTTTTATCAGTGATACTACTGGACTTGAGGCTTTTGCTTGCTTTCTTGATGACAACATAACTCTCGATATTTGGATTCCCTGATCACACATGTCTTTCTTGAATATTTTGAAAAAATCATTATTTTCCAGTGATCTAAGGGACTTATATACATTCTTTTTGGTTGGTATCTAGGAGTATTAGGATATTATTGACTGCAATGTTCATTAGACTTCTTCCTCATTATAACCTCGTTGGATGGCAGAGCATATGCTTTTTTATGCGAGTGAAAAGTATCCACTGGAGGATAGTTACTCAACATACATCAGTGAGGTATCTTTTATACATGCTTTTAGTTTTGAACTAATTTCATTCTCCCTGAAAAAGATCTCAATTTAAGAGATGGATTTGTTTCAAGGACAATTGCTTTTGTTGCCTCTTCATGATTTAATTTAGTACATTGATTTATTTGTGTATTTATTGTGCTATTTTTTAGCTCTTTGTGAAAATTTACTATTTCAACGACCTAGTTTATAAACTATATATGTCTGTTTATTTCACGTGTCCTTTTCAGCATGGAGGCAGTACAAATGCTTTCACGTCGTCTGAACACACCAATTACTACTTTGATGTTAACCCCAATGGCTTTGAAGAAGCCTTGGACAGGTAGTAAATATATAATCACCACATATTTTGTGGTTTCTTTTCCAACAATGATTGTTCTTTGGGATTGATTATTCTTTTATACATTCAGATTCGCTCAATTCTTCATCAAACCGCTAATGTCGGCAGATGCGACCACAAGGGAAATAAAAGCTGTCGACTCCGGTCAGCTTTTGGTCTTACACCCTATCCATTTATTCATATCATATGTTTTTGGGTGATTAAAAGGCCCCCTTCGTTTTGTTTTTTCAGAAAACCAGAAAAATTTATTATCTGATGTTTGGAGAATGAATCAGGTACCTCTTATTCATTAGCTACTTGCAGCATTCCATTTCCAGCTTTTCTCTCTCACATCTTTAAATTTTCAGGAAATGTCCTGTTTTAAATGAGAGCTTATTCATTAAAACATACCCATATCTATGTGGGAGCGCCACTCCAACCATGCAGTATGCCTCAAAAAATATTTTTTCATTCAAAATATTTCGATATAAATACATTTAAATCAACTCATCAATTATATTATCTTTGTGATCTAAATATTTAAATTTCCGACGCTCTTATATGATTTTGCTGTTTAAGAATTAAATTGATTTTTTATTTTTTTTATTTTTTACATATGCAGCTTCAGAAACATCTAAGTGCGGAAGACCATCCATACCACAAGTTCAGTACAGGTTTGAACTTTCAATTTGATACTCATACTTACTCCAGGAAACATGGGTTGTTCCGAGGCTCTTAAAATCTGACACACGATGGAATCAACAATGCTCCTCATTGAGGGCCTATTAATTATTTTTATTTTTACCACTTGCAAGGTGAACTTATGCTTATTATCAGTTATGACATCAAGGTAAAAAGAGAAATATCTCGATATAGGATAATATATAAACTGATTAGTTATTTTTGGAAAGCTTAAACTTCCTGGTTGTGTCGTGTCACTTAAAAGGCCTATTATGTCATCCATTTTTTATTTATTTATTTATTTATTTTTTTCAAATTGGTATTTTGTTACAATCAGTCATCTACGGTACAACATTGTACCTTCTGATTCTATGTGATAGATACATTAATTTGAATTGCAGGGAACTGGGAGACGTTGGAAGTCCGGCCAAAAGAAAAAGGGTTGGATACAAGACAGGAGCTTCTACGGTTCTATAATGAAAATTATTCCGCCAATCTCATGCATCTTGTAATATACAGTAAAGGTAGTTACTTGTATGAAGTTGGGCAATGAAACCAATTCAAGTAATAACTAACTTATCTTTTGTTAGATGCTCTTGATAAATCCGAAAGCCTCGTGCGGAGCAAATTTCAGGAGATTCGAAATATATCTAAAAATTGTATTACTTTTCCTGGTCAGCCTTGCGATTCAGAAAATCTTCAGGTACAATGAGAGAAGCATTTTGATCCAGTATTTTTCATGGAAAAACAAACCTTTAGTCCCCAAAGCAAAGTTGGAACACAGTAATTTACTAGTTTCTTTTTAACTTTTTTAGTTTGTCTTTTTCTGATTCAGATCCTTATCAAAGCTGTCCCGATCAAACAAGGTCACAAACTGAGATTTGTATGGCCTATAACTCCTGGTATTCGCCATTACAAGGAAGGGCCAAACAGGTATCTTGGTCATTTGATTGGCCACGAAGGAGCAGGATCTTTGTTTTACATCTTGAAAAAGTTGGGTAGGTGTTGAAACGCATTGCCATGTCGAAATCACAGATATGCCCCTCCCTTGTGTATGCTGATAGGAAAAACGGATTGACTGATATCCTGGCTTTATATTTTCTTCCTGTGCTATTAAATGAAGTGTTACATATTACTGGATATTGTTAAAGATAGCGGTGGACCCATGCTCTTGAAAGCACTAATTAAATTGAGGATTAAGTGGCATCAATGAATTCTTCTTTTTTTGCTAATTTATGGAACTAAGGTGATAGAAACTGCAAAGCTGTATTTTACTTTGTTATGTATGGAGTCTTTGTCTCTTTAACTTGCGCAACTTTAAGTCCCAATTTAAAACTTGTATTGTCGTGCATTCACAAATTTACAGGTTGGGCTACGAGTTTGTCTGCTGGTGAATCAGACTGGACATTTGAATATTCTTTCTTCAAAGTGGTTGTTGACCTGACGGAGGCAGGACATGGTGAGTGTTATGTTCTAGGCTCCTGTTTACAGTGGTGAATCTGCATTTCTTACTAGGGCTTCTTTCTCTTGATAACCCACGCCCTGTCTCTCTTTCTTTCCCGTGATAATTCACAGAGCATTTTGAGGATATTGTGGCACTATTATTCAAATACATTCAGCTTCTGCAGCAATCTGGCCCCTGCCAATGGATATTTGACGAGGTAAGCCTGATTAAATTTCATTTAGTATGTAGTGCCTCATGATACCGTTTGAGGGGAATGCTGCAGGAATTGGCTTGTGCTACTGCTAGCTTTAAAAATCTGTTTTCATTAATTATCAGATACAGAGAACGTTATAAAGAAAACTAGGTTGGAGGTCCATATAAGATGAAAGATGAAATACGTGTCTTTGCTTTGTTTTGTTTTGTTTTGTTTTTTTCTTAGTTTTGTTTTTGTCTTTTCCTGGATGGGATTTTGTATAACTATCGTCTCACACTACTGTTACTTGTGCATATTTTGTAGAAGATTTGTCGGTTAATTGTAACTATGTAGTTACCAGTTAGTAGTAATTTAACTTCATTCATTTTGATTTGTTGATAAAGCTCGCAGCCATATGTAAGACTTCCTTCGATTATCAAGATAAGATTCGGCCCATCGATTATGTGGTTAATGTTGCACTTAATATGCAGGTAACGTGTTCTATCTTCATATGTCCTAGGTAGTTAATTGCAAGTATTTCGTTCTAAAATTTACAAAAAAGAAAACAAATTGTCAAACATTTGAGGTAGAAAAATATAATATTCTCGTATTGACTCATAGCAAGTGTCTCATGAATCATGATCTAAGAAACAATTGTCGGTTTGGAAATCTAACCAGGTTAACAGTGATGGCGATGTTTATCCTGATTATGAAACATAATATTTTTTACATTCCACAATCTGGATAGATGGTAATTTTCAATCCGTTATTAATTGAACGACATTATTCTGAAATCCTTGTGTATTTGGTTTTGAAATATCAAATGCTGCAACTTAATCTTGAAAGTTAGAAAAGTCGAGTTTACTTATCGTCTGTTTCGACTTTTTGTTTTGTTTGAAATCAAGATACATGAAGTTGTAATGTTTCTTGGAAAAACATTATAATGGTTTCCGAATTCTTATGTTTGTTCTTGAATTATTGCTCAAATGTTTTAAAAAATGATGTTAAAGCAATGACGCCGTTATTTTAGCAATGTCTTATTTCACTAAAATCTCCATTGTCATATTCAGCATTGCACAATTTTTCCTTCTGTTTTACTTACATTTTATTAGTTGTTTTTATAAAATATTATCAGTTTTATCCTCCAAAAGATTGGCTGGTCGGATCATCTATGCCCTCAATTTTCAATCCTGCAAGAATCCAGTCGCAACTGGCAGAGCTAACCCAAAACAACGTGAGGTGAGCTTGGCATCTCAATAAGTTTGCTTTACATATAGCTTCACCTTTTAGGATTTTGCATTTGCATATATTGGGTTTTTGGCAGTATTAGATCTTTCGTTCTTGCTGACATCATCATTTTTCTTCTTTAAAAAAATTAATAATTCTTGTTGAACAGAATATTTTGGGAGTCAACAAAATTTGAAGGAGTTACAGATCTAAAAGAGCCCTGGTATGGAACCAAATATTCTGTAGAGCGGTTACCTGGCTCCACCATTGAGGTTTGCAGCTCTCTTAAAGCTTTCTCCCAATTGAAATCTCTCTAGAATATTTCGTTTGGTGATATTCTGTGATATTGTATACTTGCAGCAATGGATTAATAGAGCACCAAGTGAAGACCTACACCTACCCAAGCCTAATATATTTATTCCAACTGATCTATCCATTGTGATGGTTACCGAGAAAGTAAGCTATTTGCTGTTAACTTCAAAATATTGCCATCTGTACTTTGGTTGTCTTGACAGTTGATACAGAATCTCATTTTTTTTTGGTGGTGTTTCAAACAGACGAAGGTACCAATTCTGTTGAGGAAAACACAATACTCAAGGCTGTGGTACAAGCCGGATACGGTATTTCTTACTCCTAAGGCATATGTGAAGATAGATTTCAACTGTCCATTTTCCGGAAGCTCCCCAGAATCGGAAGCCCTTACTGAAATATTTACGCGTTTGCTAATGGACTACTTAAATGAATATGGTACTTTTTTTTCTCAGTGTGGAAAAGCTGTGATTGTGTGTTAATCATTAAATACTTTTTTTACTTGATGGTAGCTTTGTACCTATGTTGAATGTTACATTTCTTCATGGAATAATTGCAGGCTCTCACCTTACTTTCACCCCCCTTTTTTTTTTTAATTTTACTCCTAAAAGTGATTGATTATTTTCTTTCTTTCTTTCTTTCTTTTTTTTTTTCCTGGCATATTTCAGCATACGATGCCCAGGTTGCTGGTCTTTATTACGGAGTTAGCAATACCACTTTTGGTTTTCAGGTACTTATGAGTGTCTATATTTAACTATACTCAAATGGGTTGTGATCAACATTTCTTTTTGGCTTTCAATATATTTCTCGATTTATTAAAAAAATCATGTATTTTGTCCATTGCAAATGGAGCTGGAAGAGTCATTGTTGACAATTCTCTTGGCATAGTGCTAATAATGGACTAGATCAAAATGACTCAATTAAATTCTAGTGCTTCTTCTATTAGTGAAGTTTCTAGAAAAAAAAAAAAATATATCAAACGACGCAATGCCCCTTGGGTCACTACGGAAACAACCTCCTTGTATAATTACAAGGGTAAGGTTTGCGTACAACTGACCCCCCAGACCCCAACCAGTTGGAAATATACTGGGTATGTTGTTGTTGTTGTATTAAAAAAATCATGTATAGTTATTTGCCTGTCTTGTAATTAAATTAAAAATGGGAGTCAGTTGCCTTCTTTTCTGATCGCATCCGCTTTTTCTTCCTTCTTTCTTTCCTGTCTTTGTATCCCTTTTCCTTTACTTTTTCTTTTTTGTTATGTTACTAATGAGCTCTTACTACTTCATAAACTAGACACATTTTGTTTCACATAATGATTTCAAGGTTCTTTAACTGTGTAGTCCAACCTATCCATTATTTCTGTCTTCCCTTGCAGGTCACCGTGGTCGGTTATAATCACAAATTGAATCTCTTACTACATACCGTAATAAATCAAATCGCTAAATTTGAAGTAAAACCCGAAAGATTTGCTGTTATTAAGGTACAAATTTATTGTGTTCCTTTTTTTTTTAAAGTTATTTTGACTAAGAGCTGTTTGTTAATTTTTTGTTGTGTCCCTTGGTGCATTTTTCATGAATATACACAGGAATTGGTCACGAAAGAATATCAGAATTTGAAGTTTCAACAGCCATATCAACAAGCTATGTACTACTGCTCATTAATACTAGAAGACCAAGCGTGGCCTTGGGCTGATGAACTTGAAGTTCTTCCTAATCTTCAAGCCGAGGATCTTGTTAAATTTTATCCTTTAATGCTATCAAGTACCTTCTTGGAATTCTATGCAGCAGGTTATACTTCTCCTATTATTCCCAGGATTTTCTTCAGATGTTGAAGGCTCTCATATAATGTATATGTATTTAATTATATACGTTCCTTATTTTCTTGTTGCTTGTATATAGGAAATCTTAAGGCGACTGAAGCAGAGTCCATGATCAAGGATATTGAAGATGTGTTCTTTAATGGTCCTAATCAGTTGTCTAAGGCTTTATTTCCATCTCAGTATATGTCAAATAGAATTATTAAGCTCAAGAGTGGAGTAAATTGCATCTACAGTGCTGATGGCCTAAATCCTAGTGATGAAAACTCTGCCCTTGTTCATTACATTCAGGTAAGTGAGTAAATGACTTGCAATGTTACAGTGATTTGGATCTCTCACATTTTACACCAACCAGTCGTTCTTTTGACAATTCAAAGCTATTCATCCATAAAAGGAAATGCTACAAGAAACCACGCATCATGTATTCTTATAATATTACTCAATCCAATCAGTTCTTACCCTGATGTGTGTGCATTTTAATGTAACTGGTTTTTAAAAAATATGTAGGTTCACCAGGATGATTTCAAGTTGAATGTCAAGGTTCAACTTTTTGCCTTGATAGCCAAGCAACCTGCTTTTCACCAGCTTAGATCAGTCGAGCAACTTGGTTATATCACTGTTCTTATGCAGCGGTAGGATTTTTTCTTATTAAGTTATTGTCATTACTGGGTATATACTGGGTATGTTGATGTTGAAGTTATAGTCATTACATTTAATTGTGCTCCTCTTAGTTCATTCGTTTATTTTTTGGATACTTGCTTTACTGAAGGAATGATTCTGGTGTCCGTGGCGTGCAATTTATTATACAATCAACCGTCAAGGTATATGTTGTATCTTCACTTTATTCATGATATTTTTGGGGGTAATTAGCTGCCACTCATCTGTCACTCTTTACTGTGCTTTGATGATAGGGTCCTGGGCAAATTGATTCTAGAGTGGAGTCGTTTCTAAAGATGTTCGAAACCAAGCTTTATGGAATGCCAAGCGAAGAATTCAAGGTAATATGTTGACTGCAAGCATACAATTCATTTGCACACACGGTTTTTAAGTGGGGCTGTTGCACAGTTGTATGGTGGTGGAAAAAATCTCCAAAACCGAAAAACGTACATTTACCTTCAATGTTTAGGGCTTGCTTGAAGACAAATATATCCGTTCAAAATGAGTTTTTTTGGTTAACCAGATTTATTTTTGAGAAAAGTTGGTATGATTAGTTGTTAGTGGGAGTTTGAAGTTATATTAAAATACATTTAAAATTAAATAATTAAAGTTGGTTTGATGAAAAAGTAGGAGAGATGATGTGAAGTGATGGTTACTTAAAATTATGTTAGTGAATTATGTTAGTGGATGAGTAGTGAATTAAAATTATTGTGATGCATAAGAATGATTGTTTGATATTATTTAATTATATTAATAATATTGAAGATAGTGGAGGTGGGTTAAAGTTGAGTTAGATTTTAAGTATGAATTCAATATTAATTGATAAGTTTATAAACAACCACACCCTTAGCGTTTCATCGAGTACTATGAAAATGAAGTTTTGGTTTTGATTCTTAATGGGACTAGTGGCTGGCTGGCTTCTTTGTATTTTATGCAGAGTAATGTCAATGCGCTAATCGAGTTAAAGCTTGAGAAGCACAAGAATTTGCGAGAGGAATCTGGATTTTACTGGCGAGAAATATCAGACGGGACCCTCAAATTCGACAGGAGGGAACGCGAGGTACGACACAATATCTATCATTAGTCTGTAACTCAGTAAGGGGGTGATTGTTTATAGATTCAACTAGTTTTTATTTGGTTTGTTTTTTAACTATAGTTAGTTTTGAAAAAAGGTGGTATGGTTAGTTGTTAGTGATATATTAAAATAATATTTAAATAAAATAATTAATGCTGATTTAATGTAAAGTAGGAGAAAAATGATTGGAAGTGATGGTTAGTTAAAATTATGTGAGTGGATGAATAGTGAATTAAAGTTGATGTGATGTGTAAGAATGATTGGTTGATATTATTTAATTATATTGATATTACGGAGGATAGTAGGGTTGAGTTAAATTTGAGATTTTAATTGAATGTATAAACAATTACCCCCTAAGTGTAACTGATTTTATCGAATTTCTTAGAAAATATACAACTCCTAGTTGGTAAAAAGAGCTAGGACAAGATTGCATATAGTTATAGGACCATTTTATAAAAACCATATATTTTGTAGGACAAAATTTTGAATGTTAGTAAATACAGGACTAGTTTGCTACCGCCCCTAAAATAACCTTGCATTTTGAGTTGCCATTGTCTAATTGATATTGATATTGCTTTGCTTGATATTAACAGGTGGAAGCCCTGAGACAACTTTCTCAAGAAGAATTGATAGAATTCTTCAACGAGTATATTAAATTCGGTGCTCCCAACAAGAAGAGTTTGAGCGTTCGCGTGTATGGGAATGCACATTCTTCACAGCACCAAGAGGACAATGCTCAGATTTCAGTCTCTAATACTGTTAAAATAGAAGATATCTTCACTTTCAGAAGGTCTCGCCCTCTTTACGGTTCGTTTAAAGGAGGTTTTGGCCACTTGAAGCTGTGATATTGAGACATCGGTGACAATCAATAGATAATCCCTCGGGAGGGGTATTTCGGTAAACGACTGAGGGAGCTGGACAGCATTGAATAAAAAATGAGGGATTAGATGTTACATTTGGAATTGTTTTTTAATATCCAGATTAGTTTTTAGCAAAGGTTTAAATTATGAAGGAACTTGCTTTGAGTGTTAAGAATTGCATCATTTGTGAGGAAACTTATCGGTAGCTTAAAGCCTTTTTCTTCTTCACGGTTCTCTTGGCTTTTGGGAAGTCTCAGTATGCCACTGGGGCCGGTAACATCCATGAAAATTCAAATCAACATTTTACGTTACAAATTATTAAATGTAGCTAAGAAAAGAGTGAAAGATCACTACACACGAGGATTCAAAGACATCGATTCAGTTTTCGATTCAACCACACACTTTGAAGTAGTTGTAGACACGACAAATTCGATCTTATGAATGTTATCACTAGACGTGGGGCTTCAAACACATCAATTTGGTTTTGATTCACACGATATTAATCGAACACTTTGAAATAGTTGTAGACATGACATATTCAATCCTATGAATGTTGTGAGTGTAGAGAAATTTGACATTGGGGAGCTTTTTACCATTGAACTACATGCATATATAGTTATATTGATGTAGGAAAGCGCACGAATAAACGATATTAATGAGATTACTATGTTCAAAAAATTGCGTTCTCATTAATATCATCTCATTCGTACGCTTCCCTATATCAGTTGGTATTAGAAATCAACACGATTCAAGATGCCGCCATGGAAGGACAACATCGATGGGTGTGACGCCACCATTGAGTATTTGGGTCGACAAGCCACGGGCTTCGGCTGCCAGATCAATCAATTGGATCGTCGGCTTGAGGATTTTTTGACAGGGATCGAAAAAGTGCGTCTTACGATCAACAACATGGTTGAGGATTTGCAAACGAACCGTGATGCCGACAACCGGGGCGTGTGCTGTGGAGTTGGCGGAGGACATGGAGGTCGTGGTCCAGGCGGGGCACCCCGTCGGAGATCTCCACAACCACCGTCGGCGACGAGGACGACGAGGAGACAATCCGGAGATGAATCCCTTCGGCAATTATCCAGCCCCGCACGTCGAGGCTGAGCCCTTCGCTATATACGGCCGCCATCACACGGCGACGAGCCCGGTCTTCGTGGACGACGACGATCAACACGACGACAGAGGCAGGTGCGAGGAGGCTACCTTTGCCGGCAGATATCGTGCCCGACGCGATTGGGGACTTGATCGCAAATATAGTCAATGGGAAGGCGCATTTCGCTTTAATCGAATTCGACGGAGCAAATTGACAGGCCATTGTACGACGGTCCCCCGATTTTCGATGAGTAGCCTCCGGGGTTGGAGGATGAAACTGGAACTGTGCTATCCAAACCGTTGAACTCGATGCATTTTTGGTGGCCGTGTTGTGCAGTATAGATAATTCCAACAGCACGAGTCTGACAAATTTTTTTCATCTTTTAAACCACGTTTCATAACTCTTGAAGGTGGTGTTACATCTAGATTTAAGAAACCTAATGAAAATGAGTTTGATACGCGGTTTAAAATGTTGAAACAGTTTCATGAGGGAAAGTGTGATGCTGCCATTGTTGACGATGATGCCAAAGTATTTGTTTGGGTTAGCCAGGTAACTAAAGTTGAGGAGATGAGAAATGCCATTCGAGCAATCGAGGATTTTGTGGCTAGCCAAGGTAGATTACAATGTCGTTCAACCTTCGTGTTCGACAAGGGGAGACAACGGGAACTAATACCATGGGTTTGCCTCCACACACCATCCAGGAGAGCGAGTCGGCTTCGAGGGCGAAGCCTTTCGAATCGGGGAGAATGGTGTAGATTATTATTATTATTATTATTATTATTATTATTATTAGCATTGATATTTATTATTATTTATTTTTATTTATCTTGGCTTGATGGATAAGTTAAGGAGTAGAGTTTATGAGAGTCTTATTTAAATGACTCTCCATCTATTATTTTAGGTGTTTGATTTTGAATGAAATAAGATTTTAGGTGTTCTTGAGATTGCGATCTCATTAACATCGTCTCATTCATACGTTTTCCTACATCATATATACACACAAGTACGATTATTAAACAGTGAATTGATGTTACGATCGATCCAACATTGAATTGCAAACATGAGTAGGGTGAAATCCAACACATGGACATGCCAAATTCGATGAATTGCCAACATCAATAGGGTGAAATTCAACGTGTGGACACGTCAAATTCAATCCTACAGATGTGAGGAGTGCCAGCGCAAATTTGATGAATTGACAACATGACTAAAGTGAAATCCAATGTGTGGACATGACAAATTCGATATTCTACACGACATGCATATACACATGTCAATACTATCGATCTAAATCTAATAGTGCTTACACCATTAGACGAATTTCGATCTAACGTGTCTTCACTTCGAATTCTAACACATTCCCAAACATTATTTTATGAAAGCTATTGTATCAAATTCATGATTTTTTTTTAATATCTACATAATTGCAATTTTTGGTGAATAATAGAAAATGATGGATTGCTATTGTCTAAAATTTTCGATTTCTTTACAAAAGGGAATCCTACAACTAACTCATTTTCTACCAAACAAACAAACACACACACACTCACCAGCATTAGTTAACAGACTTGGATTCAAACTCAAGCAATAATAACAACAGCTCCTATTTCCCCATCTCCTGTCGGCACCCACCCACCCTTTCTCCTCTACACACCAAACAAGAAAAACCCAAAATCTCTCTACTCAAATCCCACACTGAAAATCACAAGACCCCTCGAAAACTCAGCTGAGTGTGTGTATCTGTGTGTGTTTCTTGCTTGTTGTTCTTCATTTTCGTTTTTTCCTTTGTTCTTGTGGGGGTTTCAACTTGGATACACAGAAATCGAATTAAATTTTGCACCCCCCATAAGAAAAATTTCAGAAATGCAAGTCCAAGATCGCAACTTTCCGCCGCCCGATTCCCCCAAAACCCACAAGTCTCAGTCCAGGGCCAAACCCTTTTCGATTCACTCCAAGAATCTCGATTTCTCCACATGGGCCTCCGAGAATCTGTACAAAATCCTGACGATTCTCCTCCTGATCGCCACCGTCGCCGCCCTCTTCTTCCTCCGGAACTACTCCACTGGCGGCGGGGACGCGACGGCGCTGCTGTGCCTCCAGTCCGCCCAGTCGCACTCAGTCCACCCCAAGCTCCCTAAGGTCATTTGGAACTCGATCGACCGCATTGTTGATAAAACGACGCCGTATTCCAGCTTCCGATCCGAGAAATGGATCGTTGTATCGGTTTCGGATTATCCATCTGATGTTTTGAGAAAAATGGCTAAGCTAAAAGGATGGCAAGTGCTCGCGATTGGGAATTCCAAGACTCCAAAAGACTGGAATTTGAAAGGTATAGATTTACGTGCTAATTGCTCAAGCGCCAGATTTTTCATTTCTCGGTTAGGAATTTGCTGTTTTTTAGGTAAATTTTAGATTTATGATTAATGTTATCAGCTTATTTGTGTGTGGAGATCTTATGATCAGTTGAGCTGGCGGCCATGGTCAGAATTTGTGACTCAGTTTTATTTATGTAATCTCCAATTATGCTCTGTGGTGAAAGATTTTTATATTTTTCGTATTTTTATCTTCGATAGGCGCTATATATTTATCATTGGACGTGCAAGCTCAACTGGGTTTTAGAGTAACAGATTACTTGCCTTACGATTCATATATTCGAAAAACCGTCGGCTATCTATTTGCTATTCAACACGGTGCGCAAAAAATCTATGATGTGGATGATCGAGGTGAAGTAATCGACAATGACATCGGCAAGCATTTTGATATTGAGCTAATCGGCGAGAGTGCCCGACAGGAAGTCATCTTACAGTACAGCCATGAAAATCCCAATCGAACAGTCGTGAACCCATACATACATTTCGGGCAAAGGACCGTTTGGCCGAGAGGACTGCCGTTAGAAAATGTGGGTGAAATTGAGCACGAAGAGTTTTACACTGAGGTTTTCGGAGGCAAACAGTTCATCCAGCAAGGGATCTCGAATGGGCTGCCAGATGTTGACTCGGTTTTTTACTTCACAAGGAAGGCCAGCTTAGACTCGTTCGATATAATATTCGACGATCGTGCCCCTAAGGTCGCATTGCCCCAGGGGACAATGGTCCCGGTTAACTCATTCAACACGATTTTCCACTCGTCGGCATTTTGGGGTTTAATGCTGCCTGTCTCGGTTAGCACTATGGCTTCGGATATTTTGAGGGGTTATTGGGCTCAGAGAATTTTATGGGAAATCGGGGGGTATGTAGTGGTTTACCCCCCAACTGTACATAGACACGATAAAATCGAGGGGTACCCTTTTTCGGACGAAAAGGACCTCCACGTGAACGTTGGCCGGTTGATTAATTTCTTAGTCGAGTGGAGATCGAACGAGAAGCATCGATTATTCGAGAAAATCTTGGAATTGAGTCACGTTATGGCCGAGGAAGGCTTTTGGACTGAAAAAGATGTACTTTTTACGGCCGCTTGGCTTCAAGATTTGCTTGCTGTCGGTTATCAGCAGCCTCGTTTGATGTCTTTAGAATTGGATCGGCCGAGAGCTGCGATTGGGCACGGGGACCGAAAGGAGTTTGTGCCTCAAAAACTCCCGTCGGTTCATTTAGGGGTCGAGGAAATCGGGACTGTTAATTATGAGATCGCGGATTTGATACGGTGGAGGAAGAATTTCGGGAATGTTGTGCTCGTGATGTTTTGCGGTGGGCCCGTCGAGCGAACGGCTTTGGAGTGGAGGTTGCTTTACGGGAGGATATTCAAGACGGTAATTATGTTGTCGGAGGGGAAAAATGATGATCTCGTCGTGGAAGAAGGGCGGTTGGATTATATTTACAAGTATGACAATTCGTTTTTTTTCTTTAATTCCTTTTTTCGCTCTCGAGTTTGAGTGTGCCATATCGGTAAAACTAGCTGATAGTTTATGTGTGATTTTCGAGTTTATAGCTTATGACTTATAGTTGACAAGTTAGCTTATGCTGATAAAAGTGTTTGGTAAAATTAGCAAATAAGCTAGCTGAAATAAAATTTTCTAACGGGCTTATTTGAAAAGTTACCCAAAGAAGCTTATGACATAAGCTCGAGTTTTTTTACGTTTTTAAAAAACTCATCCTACCAAATGAAGCTTATTTGAATGCAGAAAACTTATAAGCTAACCAAATAAGCTATAAGCTAACTCCTTTTCTCTTTTTGAAGTTTTTATGGGTAAATGGAGAGTTATATGAGATACCTTAGGTTTATTTCCATCTATAGCTTGATTAGGTATTAAAGGATCTGTGCATATAAAAGTATGTCGTCATTAGCTTCACTAGATTTTGTTCATCAAGTGTCATATTGTCTTTAGAGCTATCTGCATTTTACAACCTTAATCGTTACATTCATCTGAACGAGAAAAACACACTGAGATAGTTCCTAATGAACCGTGTTTTTTGTGCTAGTTGTTGTCATATTTGACTATTTTCAGTTGGCATATTTTTTTATATAATCTCCCTTCATTAATTTCAGGTTTTTGCCTAAATATTTCGAAAGATACACCAGTGCAGAGGGCTTTCTATTTCTAAAAGACGATACTGTCCTCAACTACTGGAACTTGCTCCACGCTAACAAATCTAAGCTCTGGATAACAAATAAGGTAAAAAAAACTATTCGAGCTTTTCTATTAAACAGTAATTGACAGGTAAAACAAATAGTCTTTTTTATGTGCTTTAATCCAAAATCAAATCCATGATATTTAGTTCCGAGATCAAAAGAATTATGCTGCTATTAACATTAAAAAATGTTGCGTTAAAGGTATCAAAATCTTGGATGAGCATTTCAACTGCCGGCAATGATTGGTTTGCCAAGCAAGCAGAGAATGTGAACAAAGTTGTCTCAACAATGCCAGCTCATTTTCAAGTCAACTACAAAGAAAACGTTAAAAATCAACAAGAAAATGAAAATCTCATAATGTGCAATTCGGAGGTCTTTTACATCCCTCGGCATTTGGCGCCCGATTTTACTGACCTAGTTAATCTAGTGGGCGAACTCGATATTCACCACAAGATCGCTATACCAATGTTCTTCCTAGCCATGGATTCGCCTCAGAATTTCGACGGGGTTTTTGATAAAATGAAATATAAGCAAAAGCTACAGAGTAATTCTACTTCATTTTATTCGGCTGATGTGCCAGCTGTTCACCCATGGAATGTGTCTAGCGAGCAAGATTTTATAAAGCTTTTGAGATTAATGGCGGCAGGTGATCCTCTGTTGCTGGAGTTAGTTTGATGAGTATAAAACATGAAGAAAGGTTTGAGCCGCGAGGCCTCGAAGAGGTCAAATTGAAACTTGAATCGAGCAATGCTGAACCGAAAACTATTGATGTGTACTATTCTTTGGAGGAGTGAATTCCTTATGTAGAAAACTCTTTTTTTTTTTTTTTTTTTTTTT